AGTTCTGACGATAGTGTAGTGCGCAGATCTGATGATAGTGTAGTGCACAGTTCTGACGATAGTGTCGTGCACAGTTCTGACAATAGTGTAGTGTGCAGTTATGACGATAGTATGGTGCACAGTTCTGACGATAGTGTAGTGTGCAGTTCTGACGATGGTGTAGTGCACAGTTCTGATGATAGTGTAGTGTGCAGTTCTGACGATGGTGTAGTGCACAGTTCTGACGATAGTGTAGTGCACACCATTGAGAAGAATCTATGGATATCAATTTTGCACGGGGAAATGTACTAGTAAGTAGTATTTCTCAATCTTTGTAGAATGTATGTATTACACTCTCATGAATATTCATTAGCAAGTTTGCATTATTAATTTTTCTGTAATATCAAGTTGAATATACAGACAATGGTTTGCTGCTATTACATTACACCCAACATATTTTGAAAATGCATGTTTTTACGTAACGATTTTGAAGAATGCCCCAAGTTAGAATTCTAATATGTCATTCTGAATACACTATGAAGTTTTTATGAGGATACCGCAAAGTATGCACAAAGACAGTACAACACTATTTTGTACAAAGCTCATATTTACTGATTATTAATGAATTAAATTTCAAGATACAGCATCACAATTAATTTTGGAAATTAGTTTAATTTAATTTTGGGCAATTTCCATACCTGATTATGATGATATTAGCAATTGAAAATTACTTTATATAGTCCATTTTTATAACATAACATAACATTGACCAATATGTTGTACTTTTTTTTAATGGGCAATATATTGCTATAGATTTTCCAATATTAATCTGGATTAAAAATACCGTAGAATACTTTTTTTTTTAGCTGGAATTAATTTTCGCTGAAAAGACTTTTTGTGTATTTTGTATTGAATTTATTTTCACTGATTATTGGCGGGTTGAATGTAAAATATAGTAAAAATGTTATATTTGCTGGATTTTATTTTCACTGAATCATTCTTTCAGCGAAAATAGTGAAAATTAATTTAAAACGAAAATAAAGCATTTTACAGTATAATGTTTTTGATTCAAAAAATATAAATATTCAAACATACCCTTCTGTTTGATCTTGCTCTTGAACTTGTCTGGTTTTCAATCGTATCCACTCATCATATGTTTTATTAGGAACTAAGTCAACTGGGTGTATTTCTAATTGTCCCATAAAGTCATTGTTTCCCAGTCTATCCCAGTCCCATATGCTCAACGAAATAACCGAGTCCTTTAGCGGCTCTGTTATTTCAAACTCAAATGATTCATACCATCTTGGAAATCTTGTTCTTCTAATAATCTGAAATAGAAATATTTTGGTAATATAGTTGAGAAATTGTGACTTTTAGAACAGTGGGATATGGGTGATTTTTTTTAGTTTCCATATTGTTCAAAACAAGGGCTCATATATTCACTTCTGTAGGTGTTTGTATGCATCGCACCTAGTATTGTGATTTTTAGAACAGTGGAATATGAATGGATTCACAGTGCATTATGGGATATACCAAAATATAACAAAACAAATTTTTTTTTTAGTCTCATATATTCATCTCTGTAGGTCCTTGTATGCATCGCACCTAGTATTGTGATTTTTAGAACAGTGGAATATGAATGGATTCACAGTGCATTATGGGATATACCAAAATATAACAAAACAAATTTTTTTTTTAGTCTCATATATTCATCTCTGTATGCATCGCACCTAGTATCTCAGACATGCATTCATTTCATGATTCAATTCAAGATGATTTATTAGTTGCAAATTTAATGCAAAAAATGCATCAAAATCCAGCATTCCATTCATTTCGGAACTAGATTGCAGTCGTCATGGATGGATTTTATTCAACTTGGTAAATCTACATTAAAAATCATCATAGAAATTCGCAATGTCCGACTGGTGGCCATTTTGATTGAACATCTTTTTTTTCTGTCACAATTCTATCTGACATGTTTGGGTTTTATTACGTACAAACTTCACCCTGACAAACTACACAAACTGGACCAAATTGTTATAGTTGTGTATACATTGGATATAAAATGTAACCTCCATACATAAGTGCATTTCATATTCATTATTTCGATTAACCTTTTTAACCATTGCTTAGAGGTCAAAGGTCATGAATTGAGAGGTCTAAAGTCCAGAAAAACAAGAAATATAAAAATAATTATTTATTAAATTCACAAAACAAAAACAGAGAAAATTTAATTGAAACAGACTGGTTATTTTGTGGAGCATATGTTAGTGGCATATATAATACTAATACTGGACAAATAAATACCTGTGTGGTTTTTGTTATTCCATTGAATATCAGCTTGGCAAATGGATCTGATGTCCCAGTCTTGTCCTTTGCGGCCAGATCCCTGTCAGAGGTCAAAGATGAAAATTCAATATAATTAAGTATTAAGTTGTTTGCTCTGCTGTCAGCTGATGCAGAACTTAGGGTAAATATTTGGCATCCCATTTTCATAAATAATACTTAATCTCAAAAACTATTTTTTCAAATTGTTTCCATACCTGATTTTAATTTGTTCATATCATGATGATAATTTTAATTCCTCTAATTTAAGTGTATATTTTTGTATTTTTTTCATACAAAAATTACATTTTTTTTTTATGTGGAAGACCCTCTATTATGTGACATTGATTTGTTCATTGCATGACGACATCTGTTTTATTTTTTTATGAATACATGTAATTTAGCGATTCAGGATTATAGACAACTGCTGTTCTATTTCTTTGATATATATATGTTTAGTGTATTCAGAATCTCAGATAAGGCTATTAAATTTTGAATAAATCCAATAATAATAATAAATAATAATAAATAATAATAATAAATCCACAGATAGAATAGCAAAGCTGTCTAAACCAAGAGAACACTAGTATTTACTTAGCCGTAAATCAACAAAATTCATTTCATAATAAATACTGTAGCAAAGTCATTCAAAGACAGAAGTATGTTTTTAGCTCGTCCAAAGGACCAGTGATCATGAAGCACTGATTTTTGGTATGAAGATTTCTTATTGGTTGAAGATAGTAATTTGTTCAAGAGAAGTGGCTCCATCAACAAATTGGGTCAAAAAAGCTGAAAATTTATAATTTTGTCAATTTTTCAAAACTGTCAGTCTGATTGACATGCTATTTAGCATGTGTGGCCTGTTGATGTAGTAGCATTTTATCTTCAAATTTGTATTTTAAAGCACGGTGGTCGTCGCGCAGCGCGTGTTCGAATTTCATGTAAATAAACAAAGTATTTCACACGCGTTATATATGTCACTATGAGTCCCATATCGAACAGGACGCGGCGCGACGACCACCGCCCTTTAAATGATTTTTTATTTATTATTTTTTTATATTTTTAGCCAAAAGTGTTATTTTCGACTCCAAAACTGTCAGTCAAATTGCTTTGATATTTAGTATGTAGGGATTTGGGGATCTGGGGCAGACCTCTCTCACGGTTGTTCATTTTGTAACGATGTCTTCAATTTTGTGCAACTTATGAATTTTTTTCTGATTATTTTTATTTTATTTTTGACTCTCCATAGGTAATACATGGGACTTACAGAATGCATAGATCTAAGTGTAAGCAGTGACCATCAGCTTTGATTTTTAGTATGAAGGTACCCTATAGGGTAGAAATTGGAATTTCTTTATGAGATTGAAATGTTCATAGATCAGTCTATAATTCTGCAAATTGGGTCAAAAAAGCTAAAAATTGATATTTTTGTCAATTTCTCAAAAACCATCAGTCTGATTGACTTTGTATTTAGCATATAAGTACTTGTCCTCTGTGTTGCCTGTTGATATGGTAGCATTATCTTCAATTTTCTATTTTTAGTGAATTTTTTATTATTTTTTTGTCCAAGTCATGATTTTTGAGAAATTTCTTTCCAATCTTCACTCAGATTGCTTTGATGTTGACCATAAAGTCACCTGATGTAACCCTCTCTGTGATTTTGTCATATGGTGAAGTTATCTTTAATTTTGTATTCTTAGTGATTTTTTTAGATGCTATTTGTTGAATTTTTTGGCAGAAATGCTATTTTCAAGAATCTTTTCAAACTGCTAGATTGTTAGTTTTTAAGTTTTTATTTCAGGTTCCTTATTGGTTGAAGATGGTAATTTGTTCAAGAGGTGTTGATTGACTAATAAATCTGCAAATTGAGTCAGAAATGCCAAAACATCTCAATTTTTGTAATTTTATGTCAGATTGACTTCATATTTAGCATGCAGGAACATGGACTGTGTCTTGTCAATGTTGTGGTTTTATTTTCAATTTTTTGTTGTTATTGATTTATTTTGTTCTATGTATTTTTTGTCCAAAACAAAACTTTTGAACTAAATTATATATGGCAGGGATATATCTGGGCTGGTTCTCTGTTCTCAGAATGTACATGAACATGGAGTACACAATTTATACAGTGATCACCCACATACAGCATTGCTTAACTATACATTGCATGCTCAAAGCAATATCAATGTCACTGTGTTGTGAAATTTTCTAATTTCAGCTACAAAATTTAACACATACAGATTAATCTTGGCCTTGACACACTTGAGCAAGTATTGTAAATTATACTTCTAATTCGTTACTTGGCTAATGTTATAATTATAATTGTCTCCTGGATTCGCAAGTACTAACTTACAAACATGTATAGTACATTTTGCCTCAGAAATGATATACCAGGTTTACAGTTGAATCAAAGTACCGGTATGTATATATTATATATATAAAGGCAGAATTTGATATGTTGAAAAAACCTGTCAACAAGCAAGCTCCTCTCTGATTGGTCTGACTGTTCGGTGTTAGGGTTGGGTAGCCAATCATGCTGGCACATCCTTGTGGGTATAGCTTCGTATTACCTCCAAGTTTGGGACTAAATGACTACAATAAATTGGGAAATTGGGAAGATACACAAAAGCAAACAGTTATTTTGATGTAACCACTAGGTGCCAAAATCTGTAAATTATTGAATCACATATTTTACGATTGGGAGGAGACATCATCAACAGGTGGTTGTTCTAGACAACACCCCTGTGTAATAATGTTACAGTCCTATTTAATGTTTACAAGATTTAGAATTGTCAAATTATTGGTAATAAACACACTGGTTTACGCATGTTAATTTTTGTTCCACATAAAAACACTTTACATGTAGCACATGGCAACAACACTAGCTTATAGTATCTATGCAGAAAAGTTTCAGGATCTCCCTAGAGGTGTTGCCATGGCAAAATGTGGCTAATTATATGCCCAGTGAAAGAGAAAAAAGTATTGAATCATGTAACAAACACGTCATCTGCCGCATCAAAGAAATCCCTATCCCTTCAGGAGGAACAGGAAATTGTATTTTCATGCAGACGCATTAGCCCTATTTTGGTTTTAGTTTCTTTTGTTCTCGAAATGTAACGAAATATCATACAGCTCACCTCAGCTTTCTAATCTATAGGAAACAAAATATACATAACTTGAGACAGCTATGGTTTGTAGCATATATCAAATATAATTGTCTACTTCCTGTTCCTGACAACTTTGATTCCGATGATTTTTGTTCTTATGGATATCATTACCATTATGTTGAGTGCTTCCTGTCGTTGTAAAAGCCCGGTAATGACGAGCATACTTTCTCATTTTGTAGTTATCAAATAATCTGTTTCTAAACTTGAGATTTAGTTAAGCTCATCTACAGCGACATAGCATCATTATCGTATCACTATAGTACAATTCAAATTTCTGTTCATATTTACGAGTGGGCTTCAAAGATGTAGTCGAGGTTGTAGAGGTTTTCAGGAAGTAAAATTCGCACTAATTATTTTCATAGAAGAATTGCTTTAAACCATATCAAACTATGTATTTTATGAAAGCTCATAATTCACACTAATTAAAAATCAAAGGGTATTTTTGTAAGCTGTAATCAATTGTTTTTATTTTCGAAATAATGTAATTTAAATAAATAAAAAACGTAAATTCGTAGACATGGGCAAGGTGTAAAATGTGATCAGCTATTTATTAGTCTGTAATTATGTACAAAGTTATTATTGTTTTTATTTTGAGTTATTTTATGAAATATTAATAATTTCAGATTCGATAAAATTTGCCTGTTTGTTTTTTGAATATGTTGTCTCAGTCCAATATCACGAGGCTGAAGCAAGTTGTTAATGTTTAATTTTATAGCTAAATAAAAATTAGCTGTAACCTTTTCACCGCCAGACTTCCTTGCCCAAATTATTCTGTACTTTTTTGTTTATATTCTTCAATATTTCTGGAAATGAAGTCTAATTTTGGAGCCAACAGACAAAATTTGTGTCAATTTTCAGTTTTTACTCAAAAAATTTGACTTTTTTGTCCCAATATTCTGAAGAAAAGTGCAGACTATAAACAGGACTATTTTGTGATGAAAAGAGGGAACTGGTGGTGAAAAGGTTAAATTAAGAAGAGCCAGTTTTTACTAGGTATACACTTTAAATATCTGTGAATCAGTCCATTTTGTTTTTTTCCATCACGGTCTAAATTTATGATAGTGCATGATTTAGGATTGATGAAAAAATATTCATTGTTTTCAACATTTCATGAAACATTTAAAACTAAAGCATGACCAAGTAATGTATGACTTTGTTTTCATTGTGGTTAATCTATAGATGTCATGTTTTGCATATTATTTAAGATTTTTTTTCAAAAAACAGATTGAGACTGAACAAAAGTCCACAGATACTACAAAAACAAACAATTATAGATTTTTAAGCAAACTACCCAGTATATAAAAAATTTCTCTTACAGGAACATACCATTATGTTGTAGGGGTGACAGCTATACTTACCTAGCTTCTATAACTTGACATTTCACTGTATACTGATTGTTGACTTCAACTAATGTGATATTGATGTGTATTTCTCCCTGTATTTCAGTGTCTCTGTTAACTTTCTTTAATTTGAACCACTTTTCGATTCCAGCTTTCAAAAAATAAAACAAAGATCCTTAAGTTTTTTGTTTTCAACTGCAAGCTGCATTGAACAATGATAAGAATAACAAATTAGATTTTTTAAATTGATCGCAATCTGAGTATATAGAGACTTTTCAACTCATACTTTCTAACCACCTCTTATATTAGCATATAATTTTCAAGATGACAATGAATATTTTATCATTAATAATTGTTGCATGCAGTTTCTGGCAAGCGAATGCAGATGAGTAGTTTATTGATTACTTAAAATAGAACTGACGTAACCATAGAACATTGAAGCACGCGAACTGCGTCAGCCGGTTATTAGTTCACACACAATTTGTGTGTCGCCGCTGATCAAAATGACTCGAAACAGTCCGTTGCCAGAAAACAATTGCTTTATCACTGAAGAACAATCCGATGCTTTCATGAATGTGCTCAATTTGTGAAACAACCAAACAAAATAAATGGCCGCCACTCAGCCATTATTTGATCAGATCATTAAGCAAACAGATTGTGTACAACATTTGTTGTCTTTGTGAATGATATTGGTCAATGCATGGAGGAGAAATTATTTCAAGATTCAGATGGTGATCAACTCTATGATTTTTTGCTATTTTTTTGTTACTTCCTTCATGAATAAGAGACAAATGAGCTAAAAGTATGTATGCTTTTATGGCTGGCATGCAGAGCTGTTATTTAATACATTGATTTAGTGATACATTCATATGTAAGAAGATAAGTTGTTCTCTTTTTGGTATGTTTGAATGTATTTAAATTGCTATATTGAAATTACTACTGTATTTCCTCTATTTGAATCATACCCCAAATAACAGTATTTCTTTTATTAGAATTAAGAACACTTCAAACAGAGGTCCATGTACCATATTTTTGTTTTTAGAATTGCATGCACCGCCAAGTTAGACAAATTTTAAAATTACAAATTGTTCTGTGGGTGACAAAATCTTGAACAATTTATAAATTTCGTGCAAGTGACAAAAATGCTCAAAGGGATAAGCTTTTCAACAAACACACCATCACGTACAAACATCGGGAATCAAAATAAAGTGGGATGAAAACATGTACCACAGATAATATTCATTCAAGTATTTGATATACTCTAGATATTATCTTCGACTTAACAGTAATTTTATATGTGCATCGCATGAAATACATGAATGTTAAGTATCAGCATGGTTCTGTGTCGTCAATGATTAAAATTGGTGGATTTCCCTTATTGCCATGGGGATCAACAGAAAAAAAATCACCACATGTGTTCATTCATTATTATACTATCATTTTGTACTTGTTCTTTACAAATCACCAAAAATGGTGATATAATAATGTTATACAGTTGATAGATGTATCTAAAATTACACGTTTTTTTTCTTCAATTGTTGCTTTTGAGATTAGATAATATTCTTTTGCATCAATGGTTTAAAAAGGCAACAAAATATCATAATTGAAGGCATGTGTTTTATCATGTGGGTGCTTTTATTGACAAAACAGACTTTTGAGCCTGCTGAGTAGCATCATTTGCTGCCATAACAACAAGCTATGTAACCCAGAATTTTTATAGATAACTTAAAAAGCAGATCGTTTATAGACCTAATTGAAATATTTGTAATAATGCTCTAATCTACCATGCTAATCTGTCACTGTAATCCACTGATGGATTACACATCTGTACCTTCTGCTGAATTCCACTATATGATAGATTAAAATAACATGTTTTGTCACTGGTGTATTATGCTAACTTCTGCCTCACTAATCCACCATGTTGGATTATGCTAATTTCTACATTTCACTGTAATCCATCATGAAAGATTATAATAATCTATACCTCTCACTAATCTACCATGATGGAATATGCTAATCTGTATTTCACCATGATGGATTATGCTTATTTCTATCTCTCACTGTAATCCACCATGTTGGATTATGCTAATTCATACCTCACACTAATCCACCATGAAGTATTATACTAATCTCTTTGTTCCACTTTAATCCACTATGATGGATTATGCTAATTTCTATCTCTCACTGTAATCCACCATGTTGGATTTTGCTAATTCATACCTCACACTAATCCACCATGAAGTATTATACTAATCTCTTTGTTCCACTTTAATCCACTATGATGGATTATGTTAATTTCTATCTCTCACTGTAATCCACCATGGTGGTCTATACTAATTCATACCTTGCACTATTTCACTATCATGGATTATGTTAATTCATACTTTCCTCTTTAATCCACCTAAGCTAGCAACCAAAATACACAGAATTAAATAAAAAATAACATTCAAGGAATATATTTTAAATTAGTTGAATAAACATAATCTAACTCTTAGCTCTAGTACTTCCACCTTTTGTAAATATATATGTCTGGGTGTTCTTTATACCAAAGGTGACTTAAATCCTGAGGGATGAAAAATGGATTAATAATTGAATTTATCGGCAATTTTGGATGAAATTCAGAATACGTATTATAGATTGAAATTTCACTCAAAATTAATTGGGCTATTTCTATTTTTCCATTTTCCGTTTTTATATAATATATGACATCAATGAAAATATAATTTGTGGTTTCAATGAATATTAATTACAGATGCAGATAACCCATGGATTATTTACTGCATGATGACATCAGTGATTGGTGGGAAGCTAATACACGTGGGTCAATGTCAATGAGAGTTTAAAGTTATCTGGTCGGCATGCTACTGTGCGTGCATCAATTACACAATGGGACGGCAGATTTGATGAACAATGAATGAGGCGAGTAGAGTAGCGACTCATCATAAAACTGATGACTGGATGTATAACAATGTCTGCCTATTTTCTTCTCACTATGATCCATGAACAGTTGCTTAGCAACTATGGAACACAAAATTTTCATCTATTAATTACGTTTTACCATTGAAACCTAAACCAGTTTTACATTATTTATTACTTTTCAGCTCAGAAGTATTTCTTCACACTTCAGTGATTTCAAGATGAATTGGTTGTCATAGAAACCATACAAGTTGAACCACTTTTACAACTTTGTAAGTCAGAACCACTGCAGATTAAAAAGCAAAATATTGTTTAAGCAAAAAAAAAAAACAATTACGGCAATTTGAATTTGTAAATTATTTCAATATTTGTTAACAAAGCAAAGAATGAACATTCTGTATAATAATTTTAATATGTTTAATAATCTTGCATAATTTATGTGCTCCCAGTAATTTTGAAATTTGAAATGTTTTTTTTAGTGGCCAATAACTAAAATTTAGCCATAAATTAATAAATAAATATTATTTGTATTTGTTGTATGCAGATCTATCAAGTTTATAATATAAACCACTACTGGTCACATGCAAACCACCACTGGTCACATGCAAACCACCACTGGTCACATGCAAACCACCACTGGTCACATGCAAACCACCACTGGTCACATGCAAACCACCAATGGTCACATGCAAACCACCACTGGTCACATGCAAACCTCCAATTGTCACATGCAAACCACCACTGGTCACATATAAACCACCCCTGGTCACATGCAAACCACCAATGGTCACATGCAAACCACCAATGGTCACATGCAAACCACCACTGGTCACATGCAAACCTCCAATTGTCACATGCAAACCACCACTGGTTACATGCAAACCACCACTGGTTACATGCAAACCACCACTGGTCACATGCACCACCACTGGTCACATGCAAATCACCACTGGTCACATATAAACCACCACTGGTCACATGCAAACCACCAATGGTCACATGCAAACCACCACTGGTCACATGCAAACCTCAAATTGTCACATGCAAACCACCACTGATCACATGCAAACCACCACAGGTTACATGTAAGCCACTACTGGTCACATGCAAACCACCACTGGTCACATGCAAATCACCACTGGTCACATATAAACCACCACTGGTCACATGCAAACCACCAATGGTCACATGCAAACCACCACTGGTCACATGCAAACCTCCAATTGTCACATGCAAACCACCACTGATCACATGCAAACCACCACAGGTTACATGTAAGCCACTACTGGTCACATGCAAACCACCACTGGTCACAAGCAAGCCACCACTGGTCACATGCAAACCACCACTGGTCACATGCAAACCACCACTGGTCACATGCAAACCACCACTGGTCGCATGCAAACCACCACTGGTCACATGCAAACCACCACTGGTCACATGCACCACCACTGGTTACATGCAAACCACCACTGGTCACATGCAAACCACCACTGGTCGCATGCAAACCACCACTGGTCACATGCAAACCACCACTGGTCACATGCACCACCACTGGTCACATGCAAATCACCACTGGTCACATATAAACCACCACTGGTCACATGCAAACCACCAATGGTCACATGCAAACCACCACTGGTCACATGCAAACCTCCAATTGTCACATGCAAACCACCACTGATCACATGAAAACCACCACAGGTTACATGTAAACCACTACTGGTCACATGCAAACCACCACTGGTCACAAGCAAGCCACCACTGGTCACATGCAAACCACCACTGGTCACATGCAAACCACCACTGGTCACATGCAAACCACCACTGGTTACATGCAAACCACCACTGGTCACAAGCAAGCCACCACTGGTCACATGCAAACCACCACTGGCCACATGTAAACCACCACTGGTCACATGCAAACCACCACTGGTCACATGCAAACCACCACTGGTCACATGCAAACCACCACTGGTTACATGCACCACCACTGGTCACATGCAAATCACCACTGGTCACATATAAACCACCACTGGTCACATGCAAACCACCAATGGTCACATGCAAACCACCACTGGTCACATGCAAACCTCCAATTGTCACATGCAAACCACCACTGGTCACATATAAACCACCCCTGGTCACATGCAAACCACCAATGGTCACATGCAAACCACCAATGGTCACATGCAAACCACCACTGGTCACATGCAAACCTCCAATTGTCACATGCAAACCACCACTGGTCACATGCAAACCTCCAATTGTCACATGCAACCCCCCACTGGTCACATGCAAACCACCACTGGTCACATGCAAACCACCACTGGTCACATGCAAACCACCACTGGTCACATGCAAACCACCACTGGTCACATGCAAACCACCAGTGGTCACATGCAAACCACCACTGGTCACATATAAACCACCCCTGGTCACATGCAAACCACCACTGGTTACATATAAACCACCCCTGGTCACATGCAAACCACCACTGGTTACATGCAAACCACTACTGGTTACATGCACCACCACGGGTTACATGCAAACCACCACAAGGTCACATGTAAACCACCACTGGTCACATGCAAACCACCACTGGTCACATGCAAACCACCACTGGTCACATACAAACCACCACTGGTTACATGCACCACCACTGGTCACATGCAAACCACCACAAGGTCACATGTAAACCACTACTGGTCACATGCAAACCACCACTGGTCACATGCAAACCACCACTGGTT